ACCGCAGACTGGCCATCAACCAGGAGCCCAGCTGAACATTTGCAAATGTGATTTCTGTGTAATACTTCACCCCCGTTGTACCACTGAAGATTACAAACTGTTCAGAACCCTTGGGATTGCTAATGCAATTTTGTTAAAAGTGCCAGTGATTTCAGCCAGAATTGCTAACTCTCTATAAACTGGATGACACAGTTTGAAATTACAGGATATACTCTTAGCCCCATATTTTTGTAAAAGCTTTTCTAATTTAGATTTAATTGTCACTGTGAATCTTATAACTGACTACAGCTGAGTATGTCATAAAAGGGTAAATCACTTTAAGGAATCTGACAAAAGTGTCTTAGTTGGGTTGCATAAAAATCTAACACTGAAGAGAAAGACCTGGGCTGTGGATGTAGCTCAGAGACACAGCGCCTGCCTGGCAAGTGTGAGGTCTTGAGTTTGATTCTGGATACCAAAAAAATAATTAAAAAAAAAGAGAGAGAGAGAGAGAGAGAGAGAGAGAGAGAGAGAGAGAGAGGAAGGAAGGGAGGAAGGAAGGAAGGAAGGAAGGAAGGAAGGAAGGAAGGAAGGAAGGAAGGAAGGAAGGAAGGAAGGAAGGAAGGAAGAAATAAATTCCCACCATGGAGAAGCACCAGTTCAGCCGCGAGCCCTGCTGTTCACAGTTCCATTATCTAATGGAGCAGATCTTTCTTCCTCAGACTCGGGCTTGTGGGCCGCCCTCTGTAAACGACCCGGGGATTCTGCTGCTTCCATTCAGAATCTCCTAATGCCAGCAGTTAGAAGCCACTTCGTTTCAAGGGTCTCATCAGTCCTTGCAACACCAGTCAGCCCTCAGAACCCCAGGAAGAGAGGGCAAGTTGGGAGAAAGGAAGTGGGGAAAGGAAAGAAGACAGCAAGGAATCTTCCTGCAAGGAGGAGTGCAAAGAAGCTAGGTGCACGCAGATGACAGAAGTCTCCAACGTTTGAACCCGAAGGCCAAGAAATTGTTCCTGGCTTAGCAAATTTGAGAACTTGGTCTGTAAATAAACGGCTCTTACTGGGGAGCTTGTGCGCTGAACAAAAAAGGCATTTCCTTCCCAAGGTAGAGGTCGCTGGAATGAGCAACACAGCCAACCTGCCCATTTCTGCAGGGTTTTGTGCTGGTTTTGTCTTTCGGTTTTTAAGCAGAAGCACCCCGGGGTGTAAATGGGGCTTGCCAGGCCCTAACTCCGTCTCCTTTTTGGGGGTCATTTTCTCATTGGAGAAACAACAGAAGACAGAGAAACGGGGTTCCTTCCTAGGCACAAAAACAGCCGAACAGCCTCCCTGACAAGCCTGGACCTTTTCCTGAGAGAGGCCCTGTAAGGCAGCTTTCTGCTTCCGTCCTCTGTCCGCCGGGGAGTGGTCGAGAAGAGCACGACAGCGTTCGCTCGCAGTAGGTCACGAGCAGAGCTGCAACTGTTTTCATCATGTTGGAGCCACTAATTTTTAGCCCTTTTTTTCAGATCTCTAAAAGTATCCAGTTTTTGAGCCCAGGGTCTTTCTCAATGAGCAAGTTCGCTGTACTTGGGACAAAGAGGACTTGGGAACTTAGGGGGGGTTCAAACGCATCAGCTACGGGTCTCACGCCTACGCTAGCTACTGCTGCAGCCGGGGCGCGCCTTCGCGGGTCTGGCCTGGGGCGGCCTCCTCGTGGCCCCCAGGGGCCGTCGCCCCGCGCCCCCACCGCGGGCTGCGTCTGCCCGCCACTCCCGGCGGAGAGGGGACTCTGCCCCGCAAGGTGGCCCGGCCAGGGAGGGGAGAGCTCTCGCGGGCACCTCCCTTCCTTGACTTTCTCTGCTGGAATCGGGGGCCCTTGGGATCTCGAATAGGAGCCACGCGCAGAGTCCGGTCAGGTGTTGGCACACTGCTCGCCTTCGGGGTCCGCTCTGCTGAAAAGGAGAGGGCAGCCTGGCCGAGTCCCCGGAAGTCGGGCCTGAATCTGGGTGCGAGCCTGTGCGCAGGGCGAGGGGCGCGGCCGCCCGATCCTCTCCGCGAGGCGGGGGGGGGCAGAGAGGAGACACCCAGCGCCCCCCACCCAGCCCAGTAAAGCGAGGCAAGGGCGCCCCGCCTTGGGAAACGGCGCCCCCCAACGGCTGCAGCGAAGTCCGAGGAAGGACACCCCGGGTGCGCGCACAGGGCCCACCCGGCGTGCACCGCCCCAGGTGGAGAAAGAGGTGTCGCCCGTCTGCTGGCCCGCGAGGGTGTGAAAGCCCAGCGACAGCGCTGTTGGTGACACCCAACGGTCAGGACGCCCCGGAGCTGGCCTGGTCGGCGTTTCCACAAGACGCTTGCAGGGCCGCAGTTGTGCCACTTACTGGGCGGCTGATTCAAGTTACTTAGCCCCTCAGTGCCTCAGTTTCCTCGTGACTGCCCGGGTGCTCTAGGATCATAATCGTACCCGCCTACCCGGTGGCAGGGCGCATGTCACGAGACAGGGCTCCCTCGGTCCTCTACAGCGTCCGCTGCACAGCCCTCCCAGGGTGACCGCGCCGACCTCGGTGAAGGGCTGGAAGGCGCCCTTCTCCCGGAGCCGTGCGTTCTAGCAAGGGTACCGGAGATCCCAAACTTTGCGGTCGAAAGGAAGGACAAGTCCGTGGAGTGGACACCCCGGGGTTAAGAAGCTAGTGTCCAAGTTCAGGCGGCCGCTCGGAGGCCGCTGCTGGACTGTGGAAATCAGAAAAGAGCACAGTGCACGCGTGGCTCTTTTTTACCTCTCGGGAATAAGCGTCGTAATCTCCCTCCGTACACTCGCGAGGCGGGTTAAGAACCTCGCTGTCCCTGCACTTCGCGGGCCCCGGGGTCGTGGCCTCGGAACTTGGAGGCGCCGGCGCAGGGCAGCATCTCCGCGCAGGAGAGCGAGGGTCTTGCCCGCCCGCAGGAAACTCCCCGGCAGCCGGATTGTTCTGGAAAGATTGGGTAATGGGGGGGGGGCTATCTAGATCCTCAGCGTCCTGAGGACGGGAAAGCGGAGACAGGCTCAAAGCGGGAGTCCGCGGCCCTCGCGCCCGCAGCACGTGGGTGGGAGCGGGGCGGCGTGGCCGGGTCACCGGGGACCCCAGCAGCCCGGGAGAGCGGGGCGCGGCGCTGGGAGCCGCTGGGGTGGGCGCCCGCCTCGGGTGCTAACAGTGGGGAGCGGACCTTCCTGCGTAAAACGCGCAGGTGCTAAGTGGCCGAGAAGGGCGTGCGCGTGGACCCTCCAAAACGAAAGCGTGCGCGGCCGTGCACCAGTGCGCGGGTGGAGGAAGCCTGGGGACCGCGGCGCGGAGGCCGGTCCGGGGTTAGGAGGGCGCGGCGGGCGCGGCCCGGAAGCGACTGCGAGCGGCTGCACAGCCCCGCGGGGACGGTGCGCGGGGCCGGTGGCCTTCCGCACAGACAGCGCCAGCTCCCGCGGGGGCTCTTCCCGGCCCCCGCAACGGCAGCCCGCGCCCAGCGCTCGTGCAGGCGCTCCGCAGGGCTCGGAGGAGCGGGGAAAGGGAGGGGCACCACCCGAGGTGGGAAGGAGGACGCGGCGGGCGGGCGCAGATGGGGTGGAGGCTGGGGGAGCCGCGGTGGGCACCCGGCCGGGCGGCCGGGCTGGCCGGCCCGGCACCCTGCGCGCGCCCCGCCGCACTCTCGAGCAGGACCGCTGGCGCCCCCCGGTGGCCAATGCTACCACTCGGGCTCCCCGGACAAAGCGCTAGGGTCGCGCCGCTCTCCAACGTGTGGCAGAGCCTGGCTCAACCCAACACGACCCGCTTCGGACTCCTCGAGTCCCAGCTAAGGGCCCTGCGGGTGGAGTGGCCCCAGGAAGGAGCGTGAGGACCCCCACTGCCACTCGCCCGGCCGAGGCCCCACGTCTCTGCGCGCCCAGGCGCCCATCAGCTGCTTGGCTTGGTTTCTTTCGGGTTTTTTTTTTTTTTTTTTTTTTCAAAGCAGTTGAAGTTTGGGGCAAGGGGCTTTAAAGCTTTACGTTGCTTAAGTTAGAGAGGGGAAATCGAGGGCCAGTTGGAGGAAGCACGACCTTTTGCCGCTCCCAGGTTTTTAGAAGCGCAGATCTCGGGGTTCAGAAGGCGCGCTCCCTCCGGGGGCCGATCCTCCCGCAGTCCACATCCAAGATCGCGTAGGGGATAATACTGAGTGGGCTGTCCACACCCCCTCGTGAACTGCTTCTTTAAACTAAAGGGACCCCCGATTTGCGGCGAGGGGTCGGGGCATCAAGGCTGGGGCATCCAGGCTCCTGCATCCTCCGGAAGGAGGGAAATAGGGCCGCCGGGGTCTGCGCCTCTAGGTGGCTCTCGGGGTCCGGGAAGTAATAACAATGCGCCCCCTTGCATATGAAAGAGCCTTGCTCTGTGGGGATAATCCCTCGGGATCTGCTCGGACCGACGAGTGGGGTTGGGGGAGGTTGGGGAAGGGACCCGGCCACGCTCTCTTCCCTTGCCTGGCCTCCTCTTCCCAGTTTACGGCCCTTTACCCTCAAAGGCACTGACCCCCCGCTCCACGGGAGCAGAGGTCGGCGGTTTCTTCGCCCGGGCCAGCACGGCGCCCCCGCCAGGCACGCGGAGGAAGAGGCGGAATCCCGCCGGGCCTGCGAGCAGCCTCGGGGATCTCCAGTCGGGGATCTCCGGCCTGGGATCCCGGCTCTGCCCGGCCCCCGGTCTCGGGCCTGCACCGGCTGCCCGGCTGCGCTTCGGAGTCCCCGCGTTAAGCGCAGGTCTGTGCTGGGCTGTGAAGCGCTGAGCGACCTCGCTCACTGAAGGGGGCAAAGCCGCTTCCCCCAAAGGGGAGTGGTGAGCACGCCTGTGCGGTTCGGGTGAGAGCGGCAGAGGGCTGCCACAGGAGCGCAGTTTTCTAAGCACTCTTTCTTTAAAAAGGGCCATTTGTATTGTTATTTCGTTTTCCCTGTGAAGTTTTGCTTGTATTCTATGTAGACTTCTAATTTTAGTTATTTCTCCCTAAGAGCAGGAGGAAGCGCTCCGCACCCGCCAGGGTGCTGCGCTTTGCCTAGAGATCCAGTGCGAAACCAAGTTCGCCGAGCGGGCCCGGCGCGCAGGTCCCGGCTCCAGCCCAGGGCACAAAGAGCCGGGCCGCGGTCCCGCCGCACAAAGCCGCGGCGCGGGCGGACGCTTCGGGCCGAGGGCAGCGAG